GAACCCTGCCGCCCCATTCCGCCGCTTCGACCACCGCCCACCCTCGCGTTGCTCGAATCCTCCGCTGTCCCCGACGCCGGCCGTCGCAGCCCGCCGGGGCTAAACCTCACCTCCTCCGCATCCTCCCCGCCGCTCTTCGCCACCCCTCCCAACCCCGCTCCGTACCGCTGCTGCTCCACGTTCTTCGTCGGACTCCTCGACCGTGCCAGGATTCTCACCGGCGCTACCGCCACCGCATCCTGCTTCCCACCTTTCTCACCCCCGCCCCCACGCCCTTGCGTCCCCTTCTCCGTCCCCATCTCGCCCCCCGCTTTCCCATCATCCTCCGCCAGCGTCTGCGCGATCCCCGCCGCGCTCAGCTTCGTCGACGCTATCATCTTCGCCATCTCCGTCCGCGCCTGACCCCCCTCCATCAGGTTCTCCAACGCCACCGTGATTCGCCCGTAACCCGGTGGCACGTTCGGAGCTCCGCTTCCCGCACCGTCCCCGCCCGTCCCCGCCACATCCCCCTTCGTCCCTGCCTTCTCCGCTCCTCCTCCGCCACCCCCGGATCCCGCCGTGCTCGTCACCACCTTCACCGCCGCCTTGTCCACCACCCCCGTCGCTTGTCTCGCGCTCTTCTCCGTCGACATCGGCACGCACTGCGACACCAACAGCGAGTACTGCTGGATCGCTAACGTCTGCACGCAGTAGATCTGCACCACCGCCCCTTGTCCCCCTTCCGATCCGCGCTGCTCCCTCACCATCAAGCTCAGGATCGGAATCGTCACCGAAAACTCCGCCAGATACTTCATCTGCGCTCTCCCCCCTCGACCCCCGAACTGCACGTGCACCACATAGATCGCGTTCTTCTTCGCGTTTGCCACCACGATCAAGTTCGCCCCGGGCGCCACCACCACCTGGTTGAAGAATGCCGTCTCCATGTCGTCTCCCGCCGCCGAGCTCGTGAACTCCACCGTCTGGATGCACTCCCACATCACGTTCCCGGATTTCGACGGCGACGCGCTCTCCTCCGGCGCCCACAGCTTCAGCTCCCGGTTCATCTGGTGTCCCTGCCAACGCCAACCCCACACCCTCCCTGCTCAGCGTCCTGCACCCGCCCTCGCCAACCCCGCCACCCACTCTACTCTGCGCTATCCCCAACACACCGCATCCCATTCCCACCCCACCCAAACCCGCTCTCTCATGCCTCACCAACCCCATCACCCACACCGCGCACAACGTCAACAACATGCTGCTCTACGTACCGCAGTGAGCAGCACCGACTGTTCCGGAAACCCCGGCGCAGACAGAAACGCTACGGCGCCCACAACCTCTCCCATGTGTGGAACGAACGAAGACACATATCCGGATCCATTTGGCCCCCAAATTCGCACCTGCCACATTCACCACCACAACTGCACCTCAGATGCACACCACTCTACTCCCCACCCCCACCCTACACTTCCACTTCGCCGCCCTTCCACACCACCCTTCCGCATTCGCCATGCACTCACCGCGGCAATCCACCCCATCCCCTCCAACACATCCATCCCACCAACCCTCATGCTTAACTCGCTCATCACTGCACCCAAGCCCCCCACCCCCACTACCCCTTTCCACTTCACGAGACTCAAAACTACTTGCCACAAATGCTTGTCACTGCCACACCCGACCCACCCACACGGCCCCACAACTCTGCACCCTGCTCTCCGTCACATCTGCACGGCTATCGACTCAACCACGCGCCCACCCTCCCCCCCCCCTTCACCACCGTCACCGCCACCAACAACCCACCAAAGCCCAGGCTCATGACACGCACCGAACCATCTGCCGAAGCGGAAGCAACGTGGCTCTGCGAGTACAACGGTACCGCTAGATCCGTCACCTCCTCCTCGTGCTGCCCGATCAACGTCACGCCCTCCACCAATCCCTTCATCTCACACACCACCGGCTCCTCTGTCGTCGGAACCCCCGCGGGACCCGCTTTCTCCAACTTCTTCAGATCCATCGACAATATGTACTTCCCCACCGCCACCAGCAGAGTGTCCTGCATCACCCGCACCCCACTCTGTCACTCCTGCTCACTCCCCCACTCTCAAACACCCCGCTCTTGCCTCTCAACATCCCACTCACCTTTCCCACACCTTCCACCCACAACACCCACATCCACACCCCGTCCCGCTCCCTTCTTCCCCGCTCTCACATGCACTCGCCCCGACCACACCGTCGCCATACCCACATCACACGCCAATGCACACCACTCCCACCACACATCTCACTCATCTCTGTTCCTGTACGCCCGCACTCCATTTCCTACCAACCACACCCCAATCCTCACTCACTCGCACTGCATGGCTTGTGCACCCTTACGCTGCCACGCTCTCAACTACCCACACTGTCCCAGAAACTGCACCTGCGTCTGCCAGCAGATTCGTGGATTCGTCGACTCCCAGTCGCCGATGAAGTGTACCGCTGCCACGATCTGATCCTGTATAAACGGCTTCCCATCCTTGTCGCGCGACTCCACGATCAGCCTCACGAACACTCTTCCGTCCGTACTCGCGCTGAACATGCAAAACCATCCCAACTCACATCAACCACTCCCACTGCCACACTCACCCACCCGCATTTCACCAAACCGATCCAACTCAACACTCTCCCACTCCCAACCATCCTCACGCGCCCGGCGGGCTATCCAAACCACTACTCAATACCATCACATCGTCGTATATGTCACCTTGCAAATTTATTCACGTTCTCCGCGAAGAAAGCCATGTCCGTCACCCTCTGCCAAACCACTCAAAACCCACTGTCAGCCAAACATTACCCCGTTGCACCCCCTCCACGCTGTCATACTACTACCGCTCGCACACCGTCTCCCCGACAAACCTCCCACCACTAAGCACCACACCCGACTCACAACTGCACGGAACCGCCCAAACTGACATCGCCGCCCATGCCCGCCACTCATAATCACCGACATGGCAATCTCTGACACACACACACACACACATATACAGAGAAACGATAACCAAAATGCCCCCGCTGCTTCACATGGATTTCACCGCCACACACTCCCCCCCCCCTTCCCTTACCTCACCGTGCCCTCGCAGCAGCGTCTTCGATTCTGCTGTCGGGTTGATTATCCGAATATTCGCCCCTCGTAGCCCATAGCAGATGAAATCCTTGTTCACTGCTATTTGCCTTCCCAATATCGGCTCCGGGTCCGACCCGTATGCGCAGATCGATCGAACCTCCAGCTGAGGCTGCGCTTCGTCCGCCCTCCGCACGTCCACGTCGTACACGATCCGCTCTCCCTGCAGAACCCTCCCCCGCGGCAGCTTGCTGTCCTGCAGCGCCTTCGGCAAACCTGCGGGAACCGTGCTGCTCGCCACCGTGCCCGCACTCGCCATCGTCATCGCCGGCGCTTTCGCCCCACCGAACTTCCCCTCCGACGCCGCCACTTCCAGCTCCGGCACCACGCTCCCCGCCGCGCCATCGCCCCCACCCTCCGCCGCAGACTGTGTCGTCAGAAGAGCCATCAGCCGGGCGCCGTCCAGCGGTGAGCTCGACACTCCCACCGCGCCCCTCTCTTGCCCGACTGACGCCCCCGCCGCGCTCGACGCTGTCGGCGACGGGTGGGAGCCACCTCCGCCACCCAGCGAAAAATCGCCCGCTTTCGGAACAGGCAGCGGACCGGGGGCACCACCGCCCCCCGCATACCCACCACCCCCCTGTCCGCGATCCCGTGCAAAGTAGAATGGGTTCGGAATTGCACCCGCTCCTTGGGGCACGTTCGCCGCGTTGAACATCGCCCCACCGCCTGGAAGCGGGGGGAACGAACTCGACTTCGGCGCAACGCTCGCACTCGGGGCAAAGCTCGCGGTGGGGAACGCCGACGGAACTGGCTGCGAGTAGAATCCACCCGACGTCGCGGGATGCCCACCTTGACCCTGCGAGGGATGAATCTGCGGAGCATACTGCCCACCCCTCGTGTACTTCTGCGCATCAAAACCCCCAGGCGGTCCCGGAGCTCCCATCCTCTCAACTCCACTCCACACCACGCTTCAACGCCACACCACTCTCATGCCACTCCCAAGCCTACTCCGCGTCCTCCCCTACGGCCTCACCTGCCATCAACCCCACTCCACCCCGCATCAGAACATGCCCCCCCAACCCTCCCGTCTTCCACACCCCGCCTCCTCGCGCGCATCCACGACCACAACCACACACTCACAATCACCCCACGCCACGCTCACTCGCCAACTCCCAACCCCCACGACATCAATCGCCACCACCGCTGCCGACCTTCCTCCCAAAATTCTCACGCCACCTCTGTCGCCCCTTCCTACTGCACCCTCTATGCACACTCATCTCCCAACTCCAACGTCATGTCCTCGCAATCATCACCGCACCTGCCACCGCCCATCCCCGACTCCGGACCGGCCACACCCACGCCGGCCACCATGCGCGCTCTCCCCGACACTACAAACCCTTCCAACGTCTTCTTCCTCCACTCCCCTCTTCGTGACAACCCACGCCTACCACCTCCGACCGCCAACCACGGTCCGCGATTCCGCCCAATTCACCAACCACCACAACTGTTTCGTCGACACTTGCTTTGTCCCGGACATGATGTTGCACTGCACGGCCCGGCCCGGCCCTCCAGGGCATAAACCTCCTAGACTCCTACTTCCAACTGGACTCCGATCCCTGGCTCTACAGTCACCCCGAATCGATCACCTTCCAAGGTCCACACGCCAGAGTACAACGCAATCCCCCTATCACCACCAACACACACACACACACTACCGGTCCGGCGTGTCCAGAGAATCGGCACCGTCATGCGGCATACAAGCGCGCGTTGTTACGTTCTCTGTCCCCACGATCATCCTAGCAAACGATCGGTGCGCTCAGGAAATCACCACAATTACCCTGCTTCCTTCCGAGCTACAAACTCCAGCTAAATTGCGGGCGTCTACAAATATGCATCTCCAAGGGCTCAGATTCATATACACACCGACACCACCAATTTGCCTGATGATAGCGCCCATTTGCTGGATCTTACCCTACTCGATTATTTATTTGTGTGTCCTTTTGCAAGTATGAATTCCTTGGCAAGACTGACTAGAGGTACGGTATACTTTTAGTGCAGGATAATACTGTAGCGTCTTAAACGCTTTTGATGTGACGTGTTATATAGGAGGTTGGAGCACTATTATGAGGATGAGTATTCGACAGGAAGCGGGTGCTATGTTGTAAAAATGCATCTTATGGATTCATTCGACATAAATAAAGAACCACTTATACTTGTACCGAACGAATTCTGATGGTGCATACAAGGTGAGGTGAATAGCTTTGTTGACTGATTTTAACAACTTGCTGCTTCACACTCAGCTTGCGGGCGCCTGAGCAGAATCCAAAATTCCATATGGGCAGGTCAGACCTCCGTTCTAAGAACAAGGAATGGTGACTGAGTTGTGCGCGGGAGTTGTTACAATCCTTTCTCGGCCTAATAAACGAACAGTTCAGTTCAAATTTCCAACGGAATAACCTAATTTCGTATGTTGCTGGACACCAAAGCAAGAGTCCTCGTATTCCCACCTTTACATCTGCGAGGTTAGGAATACACGCATCCACCAACACCAAGAGTTCGGTACTTCATTTCACGTATTTAACAATATGTGCTCTCAGTCCCGCTCAACTTCGTGCAACCTCCGAAAGGGCGTCAAGTAGTCCATCTCCTCGACCAGCCCTTACTCGAAACTCTAAACAGGGAATTCAACAGGCAACCGCGGGACTTACCAGCCTGGGTACGACTTCTCCGAATCCATTTGGAAAAAGCCGAAAGGACAACAGACGCACACAACCCAGTCCAACATGCGGTCGTTAACCCAGCAAATTGTGAGGAGCACAGCACCAACGGGGGAAGAAACACGGCAACAAAACAATGCCACTACTTACAGCGGAACACTGGGTTCCAGGAACATCGGATTGAGAGATACCTGGAAAACAGAACGGAGAGAGCAGCCTGGCCGCGATCCTCGCCGTGGCCAGGGTCGGAGAATGGCATGGATGTCAACACTGATGGAGCGACCGAGCGACAAAGCTCCTTCTAGGGTTCCATTGCGCCTCACTGCACGCTTTCCTCTGTCACGAACTTCCTGTCACCACGAGTCCTCTTCCCTCATTCCTGTAATTAACTCGCGACTGATATTTCAGCTCCGCTAGCTACCCAGAATCTTCTTATGCTAAAAAACTTCTGTTTCTCAATCCTGTTGCTCATTCGTGGGGTTTTACTCATTCCTTTGAGATTCGAATGAAAGCATCGAGTGTCAACCTGCATGGGTATGTTTTGTAACTAGTGTGAAATCTCAGATGTGAGTAAATAACTCCTTCCAATGAATTTACTATTCACCACTCTGTAGTTGTTGAAGATTATCACTGTCACACATCTTTAATATTTAGTGTTGGTTATGAACGAGAGCAGTCACAGTAAAATGCTTGCATGATGGATTTGTGATGGTGGAGACAATTTTCGAGGACAAAGAAAGTGTTGCATTTGATAAGTTTTGATTAATACTATTTTTTGGGGGTTTTATTCTTTGTCCTTACATGCCTGGCTGATACGACATGAAATCCACCAGCACTGTCTTGCTTCAGCATGATTGTTAAAGGTCCCATATAAGAATAAATTTCCGCTTTTATTCTCTATTGTGATGATAGCAACGAATGTTATGTTTTGAGTAACTCCTGATTCTTGTGCCTGAGAGTGTGGCAAGGTCAATAGAAACCAATTCTTATAAAAGCACTCTACACCTTGCCTTTGACTTGCTCAAACATTCCTAAAAAATATCATTTCTTTGGAATGATTTCTTGATGATCCTACGTTAATAGTATTGAATTATTATGTTTAAAAAAAAGAAATTTGTAATCAATTCAAAAATACTTAAATGAGTAAAAGATGACCACAGGGCCCACAGCTAGTAAATGGCACTATGAAGATAATGTTATTCCTTTAAAAAAAAGGTCTAATAAAACATAGAAAGATTGATCAAATTTTAAAAAAAACTTCAAACCTAGTAAACACAACACGTATACTTTAATTAATATATTTTATTTCTTCTTGGCAACTATTTTAATGACAAAAGTATAACTTGCTAGAGATTGTTTTTTATTTTTAGTGTTAATGACACTATATATATATATATATATATATATATAATTTGGAGGTGATAATAGGAAATTGTAAATCATCAAAAGTGGTGGGTTTAGATATGATAGAGGATATGATTCTTGTAAGTATATTAAGTTTTAGAAGGGTATGCATTTTTTATTAACTTATTGAAATAAATAGAATAAGTAATCTATAAGAGTTTCTATAATAAATATATAATACTTAAATTGATTTCATGTTGTATGTGAAATTGTAACAAATAATATGTGATCCAAGAAAGGTCTCAAAGATTTGGAGACATGGGCAATATTAGTTCAAAAAATTTAAGTCATAAAATAATAATAATAATTTTAAAAATATTAATGAAGAATCCAAATACTACAATACATTTCAATTTTGCTTAAATTACTTGCGTTTTTAATACACATTATACTACAAACTTACACATGCCAAACATAACATATGATAGTTAGTAGTTATACTTATTCTTGGGTATTTGAATTGTATAAATATATTATATGCATGTTGAAGACCATTCAAAGGTACTGTTACTTAAATCATGTATGTCATATTCCCATTATAATCTTATCAAATTTGTGATTCTAACAGCAAGTGATGGCTTATGATTCACATTGTGTCTTCTAAATTAATTTTAAAATATTTCCAGATCAATCTTCTAGGAATTCATGAAATATTTCAAAAAAATCCTATGTCTTTATCTATACCTTTTAATAATAAAACTTCATAATTTTTTATAAATCATGGTAAGAATCATCACATGTGAGTATATTGTGATTCTTATTAAGATACTCACTACCTTGTCAAAATGATCTTAAAAGTTGAAATTTGTTTTAAATGATCTTTTGAGACTCTCATGAAGTGTCATTGTAAATATGAAATTCTCCTACCACATACCTCCTCTCCATCCTCCATAGTATGAATGTTAGCTGTTCTTTATTATAATAGAAATGAGATTATAGTTAATTTATTCATTCGTCTTTTGAAATGTTTTAATAGCTTCAATAAAATACTAAATATTATAAATTGTAACATTTTTAATTTTTTATTGACTGTAAATGAATATAAAATGTTTTATATATTTTAGAAAATTTTGATTGTTTGTATTTAAAAATTAGGGAGAAATTATTTTCTTGTAGTGGACAAGTCAACAGAATAATTTTAATAAGTTTTAACATAGAAACAAAGACAATTTTTCATATAAGTATGATGTTGTAATTTATTCATTTAATTTCTCATTTTTTTAATTATCTAAAGTTTTACTCCAAACATCAATCAGTATTTGTTTCTACATGTTTTGACAATAAAATCATGTTCTCGCTGTAATATCATGCAGTATCATCAATTAATGTACAAGGAAATTTCCAAATACGTATTCTGGTATAATGAAAATTTAGTTAAACCTTGTGAAAGAATATAATCATACCTTCTGGATATCACTGCAAATTTTTGATGCTTTGTAAATTATTCCAAAATATAAGATATAATTTGTAAGGGGTAAAATTTGCAAAGTTACTGATTTCAACCAAATATGTATATATCAAAGAGTAATTTCTTACCACCAAAGTGTCTGTATACTTGTTTCAAGCGTCAAAATAAAAAATGTTATGGCTTTGTGCTTTATTAGTAATATCAAACTTTTAACATACAATCATAACCATCTTTTTTGAATTTTTTTTTAAAGCTTAACAAAAAAATTACGAGTAATTTAACATGGTTTTGTTTCAGTAGATGAAAAAAAAGAGAGAGAAACCTGATGTTTTATTTTTAGTTACTAATTAACATTTTTTCATGCATCAACCAGGGTTTGCTATCGTAATAAAATAAAGAAAATAATAATAATAAAAAAAAAGAACAGGTTGAGAAAACACATGAAAACTCAACAAGACAACAAAAACTATCAAATTGAGTTGATTTACGAATTACTATTTAGAAATCTTACAAAAGCATTCTTATGCACATGTAATTGCAATCAAACACATCCATAACTTAGAAAAAAAGAAAGAAAAGAGAAAAAGAAGATTCCTTCCTTAATACAATCCAATAAGTTATTCTCTTGTCAATCAAACCTCAATAACAACCTTAGTTTTTAGTGATATTTCACCCACAAAAAAAACAATGGAAAGTGAAAATCATGTCATAAAACTGTACATAACAGTTATATAAATTCCTAACTCAAACTTCTTTTAAACTGGCTAATTCTTTGAGGAGCGAATGAACAGCTGAGTGGCGACTCATATGTATTCTCGTAAGTACATAGACAGTATAATACACATACTACTCGATGGTTATGTACGTATTCGGCATACTTTTGGGGGTCGCGTGTGCAATCAGTACTGATCGAAAGCCAAGCCGTAACCATCGCGTGGGTTGGAGTTTCAGGAAGTTTGGCACGATTGAAGTTGGCTCGCAGACGCAACGAGGCAGCTTGTGGAGTTCACAAATTGCACAAGCAATTCATGGATTAGGGTTTTGGGCTTCTGTGTCAGATTTATCGAGGGCGGAGGCAAGAGGCTTTGCTGTTTTTTGAAATAGGAGGACGCTGCAGTGGCCGAAGGCGTGCGTCGAGCAGATGGTTTCAAGGCGAGGACTCTCAATTGTAGGTTGATTGCAGGTGACATGGTTTCTGAGATGGACTCCCGGAGGGCTTGGTTCGTGGAGAAGCTATGGGGTAACGGGACTGGTTTGAAAGCCATCGTGGTGGGACAGGTCCTCAGCCTGCTAGTCACGTGTACCGGGTTGACATCATCAATGCTTGCTCGCAACGGTATTGATGCTCCAACAACACAGTCTCTTTTTAATTATCTTCTGCTTACCGCTGTATATGGGTCGATGCTACTGTACAGAAGAAAAGAAGTGCAGATTGCGTGGTATTGGTATCTGCTTCTCGCTTTTTTTGATGTGGAAGCGAACTACTTGGCCGTGAAGGCATATCAGTATACTGCCATCACGAGCGTCATGCTGCTCGATTGCTGGACTATCCCATGTGTGCTGGTTCTTACATGGCTGGTGTTGGGGACCCGTTACGAGAGATACCATTTCGTGGGCGTAGCAATCTGCGTGGCAGGTTTGGTCATGGTCATATTCTCCGATGTTCATGCTCAGGACAGATCAAGTGGTGGCAGCAATGTGTTACTTGGGGACATACTTGTTTTGGGAGCCTCCATGCTCTATGCTGTTTCGAATGTGAGTGAAGAGTTTGTAGTGAAGAAAGTAGACCAGGTGGAATTTCTTGCACATGTGGGATTCTTTGGCGCCATCATTAGTGCGTGTCAGCTTGTTGTGTTAGAATTAGATGAGGTTAAAGCTATCCATTGGAACGTAAGTTCCATTGCCCCCTTCGTCGGATTCGCCTTGTCCTGTTTTGGGTTTTCGAGTTTGGTTCCCTGGCTCTTACAAATCAGCGGGTCTGCCATGCTCAACCTGTCCTTGTTGACATCTGACATGTGGGCAGTGGCAGTTCGGGCACTAGGGTTTCACGAATCGGTGGATAGTCTCTATTTCGTTGCCTTTGCTCTCGTTGCTGCAGGGCTACTAGTGTATACGTTATCTGGAGAGCCCTCACCCTCTTCAGAAGGGATTCTAGCAGCACCAAGAAAGAAATACACCCAAATTGATCAAGTGGAAAAACCTGCGGAGCCCTCAGCTGGAGGGCAGCTTTCTCACTTACAAATCATTGGCAATGAGCAACCCAATCCTAATGACAGGGGCTCTTCCAAGCTAACCTCTGCGTCTGTTTAGTTATCTTCACATCTGGGCAATTTTACGTTATATTGTGGAGCAGAAACCGATTTGTCCGTTCACTATTGATAGAGGATTCTGCTTACATCAGTTTAAGAAATTTGAGGTCTCTGGTGACTTCGATTTTGGTTGTGATTCCCAGCAGTGTTCTCTATAGTTGTAACCTGATGAAAGAAATTTGGAGACCATTCATAACCCGATTCGATCTTCAATTCATTCATCAGTTCCTTGATATTCCTAGTTCCATAGGAACTGATCATATTATTGCATAATTTAGCAACCAGTTTGTCTTTTTTATGAATATGTCCACATTTCCAGCATATTCAGAGGACAAGCTAGCTGCAGAAGAATCAGAGTATGGTGCTTCTTTACACGCTCCGGACTCAGTGGATGACCTGAAGCAGCCCATTTGGACTTAATGTATTTCTATACGATTTCAATCGAATTGTCTGATATAATAGAAAGTATCACACGTGTGCAACTATCATGCTCACATCTTTCAAGTTGTGTGTGATGAGCTACAAGTTGAAGACTGACACATGGAGTGCCTTTCCGTTGAGGAAATCAATCGTGAAATGTGAGGTCTTTTGAGGTTTTCTATACAAAGGCAAGCAAGTCGAGCTGGGAGGTCCACGAGATCATTCAACTTGGAGATTGACATGTCGATTGTGATTGATTGAAATTTGTCAGGTGTATGTACAACGAGAAGTGTTTCCAAGTTGCAAAACAGTAGTTGTGACTAGAACGGTACATACACATGGACGTTTTGGTGTGATTTACGAAAACAACACCTCTGGTGGAATTGACATCTATATGTATTATTAGAGCACAACATTCTTCACATCTCAAGTAGTTACTCGTCTTAATTATGCTTCTATCTTATCTTATTTGTTAATACCTTGGACAAAAGTCTTCAATTCTCTCGAGATGGTAGTGTTCCCTGAGTGCCTTTGTGTTCAGAGGAGGAACCATAACTGTGTTCAACTGTCACTGTCGTTTTCTTTGTTGACCAGCACACCCTAATATACTCAAACTATATGATTCTATCTCGTTTTCAGGTTGATAAAGTTGTACTGCACGATCTCTATCTAAATTTAGAACCATGGATTAAATTTGCTTCCAACTAGAACGAGGTTCTTTAACCATGGCTGACAATGATCTCAGCCTCTCTGCTGCTCCTCACTCAAGTGTGTCGGTATACATGAATGTCCCACCTGCTCCAATTGAAGAGGAAGATATTAGAGGATATCAGATTATTCCTCACATTCAGCTTGTTTCTTGTGCAACATTGGTTGTTCTCACAACATAGTCAACCAAGGAAGTTGAATCCCTGCTGCAGCATTCATCCACGTTTAGTATCAAAACATAAATTAGAGTCAGAATTCCAGAACCAAGTTTAAAATTGAAGAATCCTGGCTGCAAGGGTATTACTTTGGCTGTGGGTATATATGGAAACATCAAGTTAGCCCACTAAAAGGAGAAGTAATTTTTCCAAAGACATGCCAAAATGATGCATGGATGTGTAGCATAATTTTGGAAGCTTGCTCGATTGACTACATACTTGGAAAATGTGGTTAATGGCCATCCAAGTATGTTTATGTGTAACTACACATAAACATATCTTGGACAAGGTTAGGATTAAATTTCACACATGTCAAAAATCATACAAAAATATTTACATTTTCTGTTTGATTTTCTCATATATCACTTCTAGACAAAGGAAGTCATGTAATTCCACATTAAGCTACAAAAATATTTATTTACTTATACAGCATTAAGATTATCTTTTTGCAAAATTCAAATAAAATTCTCATTGCTCCAATCAGATTTTAGTTTTATGTATTCCAAACTACAATTTCAAATTTGCCATTTTAACGTATTTCCCTTATCAAGTGTCCACACCAACTTTATGTACCTCAAGGCATTTAATGATCCATTATGAAGAAATGCTAAATTCCATTTCTTGAAAGATGTTGACTTGAATCTATAAAAATCAATGGTTTTCCTCCACTTTAGCACTTCATTGCATTGCCACTAAAAAAAATCTCCTCCTCAAACTTCTCACCAAGATAGCTTAACTTGTCAACTCATCTACAAAATCTTACAAAATCAATGAGTCTGCTCTTATTACTCCTGGCTCCTCTACCAAAACATTTCGTGACAATGTCTTGTCGCTCCACCCGCTCTATGTTGACGCCTCCTCCAATCCTTCCTCCATATCATCCATATCCTTCATTATTGTTATCCCAATCGTCGTCGTCAATTGGATCGTGGCAAGCGCTCACTCCAGATCATCCAAGCCAAATAACCAGATAGCCTGCTGCAAAGCTTGAAGGCTTGAATGGTAGGATGCACAATCCTCACGTCTCTTGGTCTTTTGGTGCTTCATTACAGATCACAAAGTTCAGAAAATTCAGAGGACCCATAGAAATCAGAGAATAAGAGTTAGATGCACCGAGAAGGACAGGCACAATTCAGGAATCTGGCCGCTTCTTGTTTTCAGTTAATGGTACACTATCATTCTGCAAAAGGTGAACTAAGTAATTCATCGTGTAAAAATGGGAAGAAAATCAATTGTAGTATGAAACAGGGAGGTTCATGATCTGTCCCACTTTTCTTGCCGGATCATTTTGAAATTGCGCCTCAGCATGGAGGTCGATGCTTGTCCGTCCAATGTGTACTGAGAATTTAACAATGCCGGTTATCTGCTGCAGTTTGGAGCAACTCGATATATAGTCCGCCTTCTTTTGTGAAAGCAGCTGCTTTGTTGTGTCTCGGATATAGCTCCGTAGAGGTATACGGATTGAACTGCATTCAACCCTCTCGAGGAGAGCGCAGGGTGTACTGCGTCGTCATGCACTAGTTGACCTCCACACGGCTGCCCTTTACGACAAACATGTCGAATCTCTTGCGGCACCATCTCAAGCCAACTGCGCCTACTCTTGGGTGCTGAACGAGATCCACGCCGTCCTTATAGGACACGCTAGTGCCATATGTCTTTTAGAAGATTCGAAAGGATCGGTCTCAAGTTTGCGTGCGAGGGAGACCGCGCCTTGGCTAACGGCGCTGCCATGGTTTTGTGAGTTAACGAAGTATTGGACGTCGTCACCATTACGCCCCCAGCTTCATGAGATGGACCTCACAAGAAAGGCTTACATCTACTTCCACGGCTTCTTTTTTCCTTTTTAGTAATATATGACCAAAAATCTTCCCATGTTGATCGAAAATCTTGTTCCAAGTCATTTTTTTTCTGGGGGTCTACTAAATCCTTTCTCAGAGCACTGACGAGATAACATGCCTGAGGGCTTGTTAGAGAGAATGAGTTCTGTTCACTTTCTCTTTGAAACGCACAAGCCATCTCATAGTGACCATCTTGACATCTGTTCCTTCCTAGAGTATCTAACCTTTTTTTTTTTTTTTTTTCTTCCCCCCCCCCCCCCCCCTTCGTTAATCACAGACCATGATCCTTTATGATCGATATCCTCCAAGGACAATGTTAGTAATAATTCCACAATAGATCCACCAGTGAAAGCGACTTGTCACTGAATCACACCACTTATTCCCAGAAGATTCTAGTTGCATTCCGCACTAGGTCCTTGGTCAATGGCGGAGCAGCAGGAGGGTGAGTCCAGCGGTCACTTTCTCATCTACTGACTCATACGAATCATCAGACAGTAATGGTTCTTCCTTCTTGATAACTATCCGCACCACTGCCTTGATTTTAGTCGAAGAGTACTCCTTTGTCTTACTCCAAATCAGACAAAGACAAATCCGACGAAGCTGCTACTGTCTTCGCCTTTACCACATTGTTGGTTTTAGTAGTCTTCTTAGCAGTTTGACATCAGCATCGTTCTGCTTTCATGGCTGGCACAGCCGCTGCTGGTTTCTTGCAACTACAGGTTTCTTAGCGACATTCTTAGCATCAGTTTTTGAGATGCTTCTAGTATCGTTATCTGCGCGAGATTTCCCTCTGTTCATTATTTCTGGATATATTAATTAGACCAGATCGTCCCAAGGTCGATGCATGCAGGAATCTTCGCGTCATTGTAGCTCGTCTCAAATAGGAAGGCTTCGAGCGTCTTCGTCAATCCACGTTTCGGCAAAACCTCTACTTGCAACGCCTTCAGGAGGCTCTCCAGGCCATTGTCTTTGTGGCTGGGTGCAAAGGATTTGTTCCTCATTATTTTCGGCGGTTGTTTTCGACCCTCCAGGTCAGAATGCAGATGATTGAATGAAGCTCTGAACTTTTGTGTTATTGACGTTGCTCTTCCGCAGCCTCTGTTACTTTGCTCTTCCGTCCCTGAAAATGGGTTGCGTTCTGGTCATTGCCGAAAGGATCTCATCGTAATGTGTATTTTTCAACTTCCACGACTCTTATATTGCTGTGTAAAATTCCTTCAGTAAGGAACTTGAATGTATGTCTAACCTAAATTTCATGTCAACTAAATTACAAGCATGTTTCTTGTAATAAAATAGTCCTATCAAACAAAAACTCTAGTTTTGCTTCACAATTGCACATATCCTTTTGAAATTCTAAAATAGCTGCTAGCAAGTGCTTTAAGATTGTATCCTTATACTTTCTACTTTAGTTCTACATGATGACATCCAACAATTTATACTCCTTTAATCTTCTACAAAGAAAAAAATCTCAGTTTTTTTTAAATATTTCTTTTTTTACAACATATTAATGTATCATTATATTTAAATCTACAACTCAAATATCTGGTGTGCAATTTGGAATAAGAAGAATTCTTTCTTTTTGACCTTACATATAATCTTATAATTTAGTTTATTTTTTATTTAGATTTTTTATTTCTAACTACTAATATCAAATTAATTAAACTTATAGAACCTTCTATTAGTATTATTATTTTTATTTATCTATATAAATCTATATTATTCTTAGATACATATTTATTTTAAATTATCTTAATTATACAAGATTCAACTCTTGAAATAAGTTTTGATCTACTAATTAATTGTTTTGGCTCTTGAATTGACAAGAATATGAACTCAAATAATGTAATTAAACAAGACATATATCAAAAAGAGATGACAAAAAAATAATAAAGAAGTATAAATATTAAAAAAAAAACTAGAATAGCTATTGTCAAAGACTAAAAAACCAGAGATTCTTAAAACTAAACTAAAAGTAAGAAAGAAGTTGAAAAAAAAATAAAGAATGCTCTCTCTCTCTCTCTCTCTATTTATATCTATATCTATATATATATATATATATATTATCTAAATAGGACCTACATGATAATATTCTATAAGATCTTTAATAAGTATCCAACTTGCAAGATATGTATCTTACTTATAACAAAAGTTTCCTATATGTGCACTACATGGCCAACTTGTTGGCCAAGTTTTCAATCTATCAATCACCTACAAATATATATAAAGTCAAATCTCTATTTATAAAAATTCTAAGAAGTTTTTTCACAAGATATTATATCATTTATTTATTTTTATTTCTATCTAATTCATCTTATTTAGATGA